ATTTATATTACACGTGATCTTCTAATGCGAGTTTAAAATTGAAACTATGGTCGTTTTTAATGACAAGGTATATGTAAACTTCTTGATTAGGTTACCAAGCTATGATTTCTCAGTAAACTTAGGCATAAACAATGTTTCATGTAAATGATATCAGCTTAGTACTAGGCCATAAGCTCCATGAACTATGTAACCAGGTCTTTCCTTAACAGAAAGATCGTTATACGAGTCCGATTTCCAACTTACAAACCATTATTATTTTGGCTTAAGCACATACGTTAACATAAGCACATAATGGCTGACGATAACGTTTGGGAAACTACGGAAAGTTTTAGCGCACGAACATCGCACCCGAAATAAGAAGGGTACTTACATATTTTTATATCCATCGATCCTGGTCAATTTATTTATTTTTGAATAGACGTGATACACACTTATGGACAGAATTCAGACAACTACAGAGTTATGTAAATTAAACATAAGCGAAGAACCATTTTTATAGTCTTCTAGCTAGTGTTCCCGCTCCCCTACGACGCGTTGCGGTATTCAAGATACGCGCTTGATTGAAAAGCTATCTAATATCAAATCACTTCATTGTTCTTTTTCTCTGAAAAATATATATATTATACGACAGTATATCATGGTAATTAATTAAATCTTTGCGTGTTAGGATTTATAAAGCTTACTGATATTTTCACTTCAAATGATTTTGATTATTTTAAATAATGGTCTGCTGGTAAAATTGCCTTTTTGACACCAACTTTGTTGTCATTTTTCATTTTAATAATAACATTAAAATTTTAGCTATTGATCAGTAAGTAAATAAGAATTATATTATTTTTATAAGTACCGAGTACATTTCACGCTAATTGTGAGACGAACCCTAAATGACGTCTATATGGGCGCCGCCATTTTGAAATGGACGTCACGTCAGGTTACAACGTAAGTCAACGGGAAAAAATATAAATTTTATCATAATGACCATATTATTGACTTTATGGAAAAAATGAAAAACATGCCTAGAGATATTGAAGTCAGTGTTAACATGACATTAATTTCAATAATTTTACTATTATATTAAATAAAAACTGGAATGTTCAAATTTGATGGGACAGACTATAGTGTATAATATCGTTTTTATTAAATGGCTTTATTACACTCCTGCGCCGCGGTTTATGTGATAAAACATATTCTTGATAGCAAATTAACTCATATGAAGGTCGCAGCCTTCGCTATAAATGTACGTATGTAAAGAAAATAGATTATATGTGTCCTTTTTCAAAATAAATGATTTTATGTTCGTACATACATTCTTTCAATATCTTCAATATTTCATGACAACTCTTTCAATGATTTCCAGCGATTTCCAGCTAAACAGGAACTTGTGAGCTGTAACGCGTTTTAGAGTGGATGTGTGTGGTTCTTAATAGACTTTTATAATATAAAATACACATTCGTATATATTTATTGCTTATAATGCCAACTCATCACGTGGTCGAAATTCGATTATGCATATGCGGTCCAATAAGAGAAAATAGGTTCACATGTCTGGAAACCTGACCGTTAAAACATTTTTCTACATTTGAAATTAGTTATACTTTGGCAACAAAAACGACTGTTATGCATGCGTTTACATTGTTGAATGTTTTTGTTATACAGTATCTATAACTTTGTTACTATCTCTGAATTCGATTTACCAAACCCTTACTATTTGATTATTTGATATTCTTTAATAGTAATATAATAACGTTTATTGAAATATACTAGAATTTCAATAATCTCAAACATATTACTTTGAAATTAATGAATACATGTAATTTGTAAATACTATTTAGTATGAATTTTTTTATAAGTAAAGCAACACTCTTCCCGATCCTTCTTTCAAATAGAAAACGTAAATATATAATTGTTTATAACATTTTATCTATATTATCTAAATCATTATATTGTTTGATTATAAGAAATGTTTCTTAGCGGTTCTCGCATTAAATAAATGATAAGTTTTCTCATATTTAACGAGACACTCTGATAAAGACATGAAGGTGACAATGGGTGTCGTAATTCTACAATGATAGAACCGGTATACATGTATACTAATTAAAACAACATGATAGCTACGCTATAACTTATTATACGGTGACACAGAGGGGAAATATGTGTGTGATTTTATATTTATCTCGTGCACAGCAGATACTATGTCGTATAGACGAGATAATTAAGTTGTGGGCACGAATTACTAAGTTGTATGCATTAGTTAATAACCAAGTATCGGGCATAATCTTGGGGGGGGGGGGAATCTTATGTCCGGAAACCTTATAAAACGATTTCTGTGATCATATTCTGTTGTTTCCGCTGTCTACCAAAACATTCTTTGGTGAACTAAGGCACTTAATAAAACTGTCCTTCTTAAGAATCCCCGTAACGTATAGATATTGCTGTCCCTTGGAATTACAGGTGTCTACAATAAACGATTTCCCCATGGCTATTTCTCTAGGTATGGACGACATACTACTATTAAGATATATATTATTAAAAATATTATTTAATTGTGCGAGATACTGTGTCATGCGCATGTGTTACTTAGGAGTGCGCATGAGATCATTAAAAGGAGCGCAAGAGATACGATGTCATCCGCACAAATTACTAAGTCGTTTGCACGAGTTACTAAGTTCTGCATACGAATTACTACGTCGTGCGCACGACCCACTAAGACGTGCGCACAAGTTAATTGAGTGGTGCGCAGGACTTACTTAGTCGTGTGCACGACTTTTGAAGTTGTTCGTAGAAGATAATTAAGTCCTGCGCACGAGTTACTATGTGACATCAAAATTTATAAGGGATTTTCTACAATAGAATAGATAAATACAGAATCCCTAAAGAAAGCCCAACACGGCAAAATTGAAAATGTTGCACGCTCGGTTTGATTGAGCCTGTTCATGGACGGTACCGGAAAGTGCAAGTTACCGTCCACGCCCCCTAGCACCGGCTTAAGCAGAAATAAACATTCAAACTTGAAATAGTAATATTTTGAATTTAGAAACATCCGCAGATGTGTTCATACGGCGGTTAACATAGAACCTTCAATGTGACACTTCCGTGCCATTCCATGAAAAGCGGCGTATGGTCCCCAAGTAATAAAAAGCGTGTGCCCTAAACGAGAAAACAATGGGCGGAACTAAATAAAATGGAATTTTGAAAGGGGATCAGAGGTTATGAAGCCTGCGTATCACAGATAAGACGTCAAAAGACAAATTTAAAAAGCAGGCAACATATCCTAAGGGTGATTCAACATTATTCAAGTAGGAATATTGGAACCACCCAACTAGAAAATGCCGAAAAGTTGAAACTAAAAATACCACAAGCACAACAATAATGTCGTGCTGAACGATCTTCAAGGATCGAAAATATAACATCATTGATTAAATGCACGGGGAGACTTTTTACAGCCGCCACACGGCACAAATAACACGGATGTGATCATAAAATAGATAAATAGCGAATCCCTAAAGAAAGCCCAACACGGCAAAATTGAACAGTCAGATTCGCTACTTCATAATGTAGCTTATATGTATCTAAATCTGGAAAAAGGGAGATTTCTCGAGAGCAATTAAAATAAAGCAAATAGCTGACAGTTTCAGACTCGGTTTTTTAGAGTCTTTAAATGAGATTTGTCCTGTACACTAAACAAAAGTAGTGCTAAGTACTCAGATGATTTCCTTTTTTCAAAACAATGTTTTGGTTATCGATTTTAAATTTTTACAATTATAAAATACATCATTTCATGTTTGTTTCATGATGTTTGCACGGTAAGGTGAACCTTATTCACAGAAAAAGAGATAATTTCAAAGGTAAGGTTGACAATTTTCTTTCGCAAAATCTTTGAGATCTTTGTTTTAAGCGTATGAATATATACATGACTCACAATCCGATAGGTCAATGTTCTTGTTCTGATTTATAACAAAGCAAGACGATAACCTATACAGTACCACCATGTTATTTACTGATATGGTAATTATCTAACCACCGAGCATTGTTGTCAAGTAAAACACATCATAAAAACAATTACATTTTCTGTTTGTAATTTATTAGCTTCAATCAAATATTTACAAATTTGCACATGCAAATACATTTTTGTGAACATACTTTAAAATCCTTTGAAAGATGTTTAAGTAATGTTTTACTTTTAAGGAGCAGAACAGAATAGAAGTTTATCTAAGACTTCATGTATAAAGATGAACTACGTTCATTTTAAGTTAAAATAACTCAATTGCAGACATCATTAAATGTAGATCATTCTTATTGAGTAATTCTTATAAGTGAATGCACTAACTGAACATGGTAAGCTGCATTCCTTAGGGTGGTCATTTTGTAAAAAAATCAGATCTTTTTACTTACACTATACATTAATGCAGTGTTTAAAGATAATGTATAGCATTTCAAAAGTGACATATCTACTCTGTGTTAACTTAAAACATGTTTTTACAATTACATAGAGGCCGTGTAGCAAATATCAATATTTTGAAATATTGAGCATAATTTAGATTAATATATCTTTAAATTGTTTGATTGTTTTTCAATATGTTAATACGATAATATTCAAATTTGTACTGATTGTGATCAATGTTAGATTTAATTTAGCTGGTGTATATTAATAAACGGAAAATCCTACTGCAAAATGTTTATAAAAAAAAACTACATGAAAATAAGGTTTGGTCTCTTTGCTGTAATAAATTTCAATCAGTCTTTATCTACAATTAAGATACTAATATGAACTAATATTAAGAAAATGCAAACTAAAACATTGTATGAATGACATTCTTTACAACATATAGACACATCGTATATAATCTGTAATGTTTTACTTATTTCACAAAACACTACTGTTATCAAGAGTTTCAAGAAATATATTGAAGAGTTTACATCAAAATGTTAACGTTTAACATCAGCTTTTAACACTGAAATCAGATTTCACTTCCATCAATGTTTACTGATTTATTTATAATTCAGAAATTGACAAGTACTCCACTGAATGTGTTCATCCTATGTGAGTCTTGATATAGCTGGTAATTAGAATGATACGCTGTTACTTCAACCCAAACCTTTTCTCCTGATCTAACTCTTATTATTGCTCCAAAAGAACTACACCCGTGAGCACCATCACCTTCGTTACTATTTGCTGCAATGAATTTATTCTCCAACACCAGACCAAGGTGTGCATATTTATTATATACAGTACATGTATGAACATGAAACTGGTACAGTCCTCCAACAGGTGCTGTGAATAAGCCAGTGGACGTGTCGTAACCTGTTCCCTCGTTAGTGAATGTCTTCTCGAATATGAGAATCTCATCCATGGTATCAAGTAGCATGTCTTTCAAGTGATGTGCATAAAAAGCGATCGGAGGTTGTTCGAGTTTCCCTGAGTATAGCAAAAGTACTTTTGTATTTTATATCTAAAATATTTAAATCAAGGGGACTATGCCAGTAAAAAAACCTTATATTTATATCGTACCAATATCTGTAGAGTTTAGATAATTACAAACTAGAATGTGTGAATGTCAACAAAATCATCTGTTAGTCTTATGAAAGTTAGAAATTTACATATGGAGCAACATATTTTTATATCAACATTGTTTGTTATTAATATTATTGATCACGTAATATACCAAGATTAAACATGTCCAATAAACAACAATTTAATTTGCTCTGATCCGTTGTAGATAAATAGAAATCAAACACAATTGGTGTAAAGCAGGAAGCAATACCTTCGAGTTGAAAAAGTTTCTTTTTTTCAGCCTCGATGTCACTAGTCAGGTTTTTTCTTGTTTCCTCAAATGATGTTTTGAACGATTCTGTAATAAAGTATGAACATTCTATTAACTAATATCTAACTAAAGTTAAAGGGTATTCTGTACGCACAGCATCCTTTCTCTATAGCTGCTATAATTATGTTCCCCTGTAAAGCATGTAGCGTTGATAATCTAAATGTAATTCATTCTAAAAACAATAAATGGAATTTTTAGGCGTATGTGTCATTTGTTTAAAGAAACTGATATATTTAATCTGATTTTTGGAACATAAATAGTTTTATACATTGTATATATCTTACAGATAGTTGAATATTGCAAATATATTATGTTTTGAACTTCTTTTTTATCACTTTCAATTACCAAATCAATTAAAATGATAAAGATATATTGATCTATTTAACCAAGAATTACAAATTAAACAATACATTATTGGAAATATGCACAACGTATAAAGTTTATTTCTTATTTTATTTAAACTGTTTCGGTTAACATATTTTACACACCTCCTGAAAAGATGCCATTTCGAAGCTAATTCTTTAGTACATTCATGTAAATACATCATTACAAGAAGCAACAACAACAATTGAATGTGCTATATAATTGACTGGTAGAACAGTAAAATAACATCTTATTTACACAATCATAAACCAATGTAATGAAGTAAGCTTACGCAAGTCAGTATACCTTAAAAACATAATGTAAAAGGGGTTGTGTATTCACTGTATATAACACAAGTTTTGAACTGTCACGCCAAGGGGAGTAACTCAATTAACATTATAGATTTTGAATTTATCATTTAGCCTCATTGACTGAGACACCACAAAGAATACAATACTTTGTATATAAATTATTCTAACTTAGCATTTAAAAGTTTAATATGCTGTAAGAAATGTGAGTTTGTTGTGAAATAACTGTTTTATTTTACCTTCTTTCCTTTTTATCTCATCACCTCTCTTTAACATCTCGTTCGTTATATTTCCTCTCATATCTGCAAACATGTCCATAAAATCAGCAACACTTTGTTTAATGTCACCTAATGTACGGAAGACCTTATCCTCTGTTTTCTTAATTTCATTCACCATTGTTTCTACCTTAATTTCAGTTCTAATCATTTTTTTAAAAGCTGTTCTTCGTATACAAATTTCGAACATACAGGCTCTCTAGCCTCACACAAGATATAACTATATATTCCAACGACAATAACAAACACAAATAATAATGAGAACCTCATTTTGATGAGAACAATTGCAACAAACTCTGAGAAGCTTTCAGGATTAAACCATGTGAGAGAAACTGCTGTATTTATTCAAAGAAAATATGTCAGTTGAAAATGAGGCCCGTATATCAAAGGCATTCTGAAGAGGAATAGAATTTCACTACCACTACTTGAGTCATACAGTTCACGGACCTTTATGCATTAAAAGAAAAAAACAGATATAATTAAATATCTTTATTGAGTGGGCGTAATTTGTTTAAAACAATGCTGAGTTGATATTGCGATCTTTTTTTTGTATTCTATTACAACCGTTCATGCTTTGACTATAATAGACCATTTCTCTTATTTTATTTATTGTACATGATACAATAAGTATGACATACGACCATTGTTACACATCAGTAGCTACTGAAAACTTGTGGTTGAGTCTTTACGCCCATTTGCTGAAGTTTCTGATTTGTTCCCGTTGTTGTTCGTATAAATTTCTTGACAAAATATATAGCTATCATTAAACGATCTTTTTCATCTGTTTAGCAACCCTGTATGACATGACCTAAGCAGCGTATTTATGACATGACAAAAACATACTTGGCTTGTTCATATTATGTTTATCCAACCAGTTTGGTCAATCAATTATTATTGCTCCAGCCCTGTTTATTTTACCAAACATCAAGCGTCAATTATATTTTTGATAAAACAATTTTATTTTAAAGCCTTTCACGTTTGATTTATTTGAACCTATCGGTACTTTACAATTTTGAACAATTAATATTGCTAGATTCTTAAAGGTTTTGTAGCCATATAGAAATTAAATACCTTTTTGAAAAGTCTTTGCATTATTGAAAATTACTTAGTCCGGGCCTTATGTTTAAAAGAAACAGTGAACATATCGTCGCCCTATTTCCAGAGGGACGTAACTCGATTTTTTGGCAAAATGTCATGTTTGGTATCGTTGGATTCGTAATTTCAAGCTATACAAGATGGGCCGACTTACACCCATGTAGAACTAATAATAAATACGCTATTGTCCGTTCCAAGAAGACGTAAGTCCGTTTAAACACATAATTTGATTTCCAAAAAGTCGTAACTCAACAACCAATGGGAATGGCCGATTTCATTCTAAACGGTGCTAGGGTAGAATTTTCACTTGCAAAAGTATCCATTTTTGAAAACTGCATCGTAAAGTTAACATGATTTTGATCAAGCTATGGGAATTATTCTTAATAGAAAATGTAAGTATAAACTAAAAGTACTGTTTTATTTCAGAATTTCTTACAGCGGTGTTTTAAAATGTTCTGATTTACACCTGTTCCAATGGTTTAGTGAATAGACCTATTTCGGATGCACACTGTATTTGGACAAAAATTGGATTGTGCAGAAAACATCCCCTTGAACCATTCAGTGTGTTATGTTTAACTTTTTTGTCACCATTTACATTATGTATGCACAGATAAATAGTATGTAACATACATTCCAAGTAAATGTGTATCCACCTATCTTATATTTTAACACGTTGTGTGCCCTTTCTGGGAAATCAGTCACCAGAACCAGTTAGATGTTTTAACAAGTCATTCTTGGTTGATGTTTAAATTTCATTTTTTAAGCTGCCATACGGTTTTGCTGATCACATTGTATATTAAACCCATTGGGACCTTGTTTGCGTGCCAGTATGGACGTGCGCAGTTCTTTCATAAGACTGTTCTAAAGTTCAAACATGATTATTTTTTATAACTTTTTTTTCTGTTGATCACTATGATTTCTGAATATTTCAAATACCATAAATTGATATTTTCAGGAGTGCAAGGATTCAAGATCTGCCTAGTGAAGTATTGGTGAAAATATTCCAGTTATTACAACTTGAAGATATATTAAGAACGGTCAATCGTGTCTGTGTTCTCTTCTACAATCTAATTGAAAATTCTGCTGTATTGTGGAAAGAAATTGACTTCTCACACCCACTGGAACTGACAGCAAACAATTTGTATCAGGTGCTTCGACATTCTAGGAAGACAGAAACATTGTTACTACCTTGTGCAACATACCATTGTGCTAATGCAAATTAGACAGAATATTTACGACAACAGACTTCACTTCGCTGGTTTGGATTGACATAACTGATGCGAAAATATCAACTTTGTTTTTCCTGTATGGTGCACCAAATCTAGAAATAGTGAACGTTAGTTGATGTTCGAACCTTATAGATGATGATTTCTTGGTACTTAAAGACAGCACTAAACTAGAACAGATTTATGTGAGTTTCACAAGAATACAACCAGAAACTTTGGAAGTAATTTGCAAAGATAAACCTCTCATCTGTGTAGATGCATGTGGAGTCAAACTGAACATTCAAACGTGCCAGAACATTTTGCAAAACACAACTGGAGAGCTTGCCTACTTCAATATATCACTGTGTTCTTCTGTTTCCAAAGAAAACTTTAAAGCAGACATTCTGGATTTATACCTGAACACATCTATTTCAATACACAACCATGAGTACTAGTAAATTCAGTTTAAGTGAAGTTATGAACATGCTGGAAGATGATCTGTTACAGTATAGTGATGACTTGTTTGAGAGCAATGGTGAACAGTCTTATGATGTAAATGAAATATTTGACAATGTAGTTCAGTGAGCAAAATGAAAGTAGCCTAAATACTTTTGACAATGTGGACGATTCTATATCTTTAGCACATAATTCGGAAGCAAATTTAAGTACTATTCCTGATACAGTAACGTTGAATTTTGATGACACTAGCAGATTACCAGAATCAGAAATATCAGAGGAGACATGTGATTCCCACTTTAAAGATAACCAGAAATCTAGTTCTGTGATCAATTTCAAAGGAGTTCCCTATACAAAGGGTCAAAGTTTTGAGATATACTAAGAGCCAGCCATTGCTGGTTGAGTTTAAACTTGCTTTCAGTGAACAACAATACCAAAATTATATTCTTGTCAGACGTCAAACAAGAACAACTGAAGAAACACTGAGAGAACTGCCCAGTACACAGCAATTAAGAAAAGTACCCGTGATTCCACTAAATAAAGAAAAAAAGATTTGTCAAGTATGCTAAAGTACATGCCAGGGATGGATCAGGAGTTCTATAGGGGCTGCAAACTTGTGATTGAAAAGCAGTGACTGAAATCAAGCTTAGATGGGATCTGTGTTGGGGTTATGAGAACTGTGTTTGGGTTATGAGAAATTTGTTGGGGTTATGAGAAGTGTGTTAGGGTTATGAGAACTGTGTTGGGGTTATGAGAACTGTGTTAGGGTTATGAGAACTGTGTTAGGGTTATGAGAAATATCAGGTTATTGTTAGCCTGTATGTGCATCAGATAATATATTGAGATAGGGGTTTCTAAAGTATGATATCTGTATTACAGTATGATATGTTGTTTTAGTTTTCATAAAGTTTACTGTTGGTGTTCATAATAATATCATTTGATCATAAATAGCAATGTTGCTATGCATAAGAAACCATTTAAATTCTTATTGTTGTGGTTTTTGGTATTGAAAGTCAAGTGATGACTCAGTTTATATTGTGAATTGAAAGGTGTTTGGTCAGTTGAGATGAATGTATGTTTAAGGTTCTTTTATAAGCAGTTAACTACATGTATTGTTGTTGTTTTCAGCTAAGACACAGGTGAATTTTTTATTCTCAATGTAAATAATGGTTGACATAACTGGGCTTAAATACTTTGCTAGTGGCAAGATTTATATCTAGCTGTCAGTCAGAGTCTTTTTAACCTAAGTGCAGTAATGCTTTAATAAATACACCATTCTCATTAAAAACGTCAATGAATGTGGACCTACAGTATAATATTATACCCTCATTGATTGAATATTGTAATAAGAAGTAATAAAAACTGTTTGCCTAGTACTATAATTAATTGGACATATTTCTTTCTTATCAAACTTCCAAATCATATGTAATAGTGATATATTTCTGTGTAAACTTAGCCATGCTGTATTTTTTGTGTTCCATTAACTGTTCAAATAAACTGTTCAAATCATTTTTACTTTTTTCTATGCTCCTGTTATGAAGATGGACGTTTGGTCTTTGCAACACAACACATAGGATCTAGTAGGACACACGTAAAAAGAGTTTAGAACGACTTTCATATGGAGGTCACTCACAAATTGAGTTTAGGTCGACTTTTGAAAATTAGCATTAAATTCACACGAAACTCCATTAACGTTGTGTCCTCCACAGAAACTCTTCCTTAACTCCTAAAGTTTACAGCTTTTTTCAAAAGTATCTTCAGTCATCTTGGTTGGCTGTTTCTGTACAAATATTATTGTGCTTGTGCCAAATCTGTTTCTAATCTGACTTTAAACAGAATGCGGCGTCTCCCATTGCGATTCAAACCTTTGTGGTAGAGACCATCAGATATAGTCTTACTGGGATGTGTGACAGCAAACCATTTTTTAAAAAATTAAACTAACAGTTTTCTATTTTGTGAGATTCTTGAGAAAATTCAAATGTATTATTCATTCCAGAAAGTCGTAACATATGATTTGAGACTTAAATTTATTTCCATATGGACGTAACTCGAAGTTGCGTTTTGGAACTAAAATTGTAACACAAAAATTCATTTTCAGGGGAATTTCAAAAAAATGTTTTTAATAAATAAGGAAAAGTAATTATCTGATAAGCCTGAAAGTGGACATGCTTATGTAAAAGCATATGACAAATATCCTTTCAAAAATTCAGCTCGTTAGTCCTAGAGGTAAAGGCTGTACAACATATCAAAACTTTAAATGCGTTTTTCGTGAAAGTAACTAAATGCAACTTACGTCCCTCTGGAAATAAGGCGACGATATGTCTGTAAAATGTTATCTACGCTAACAATCAGTATTTTGTTAGTT